TACTCCTAGTCATCTAAAACGTACACATTTGAAGCAATCCCTTGCAACAATGGTGTCTTGATGCCTTGAAGTAGTCTCCGAAAGTTCCTGAGATTTTTTCGTTTCTTTCTTCTGTCCGGAACTTCTATCAGAAGAGCTGTTTCTGTCGCTCTGTCACGTCTTTTAAAGCCACTTAAATTCATTAATTCGCTCAGCGCACATGTACTGGTGCGCTATGCGAATTTTCTTAACTGATGCACTTTAACTGATGTTATTCGCTCAGCGCACAATACTGGTGCGCTATGCGAATTTTCTTCTTTTGACAGTGCGAATTTTGGCTTTCGCTTTGCGAATTTTGGCTTTCGCTTTGCGAAAATTGGCTGACAGAGTCTAAATAATACACCATTTCCTGTACAATATTTTACATAACAATCTATTACCTATTACAACTTTTCAATGATGAACAACATGAATAATTACAAGATTGAGCTCATTTATAAGTATAAAAATAACTCCTTTTCACACTTATCAGATATCCTGCAAAACATGATAGATATGAAAATTAACACTCTAGTTTGGAAGTTGCTGAATGTATGAGCTATCATCATTACTTGTCAATATATTTTTCTATTTGAATTTATGATCCAAATTTCCAATGAGGATAATTTTCTAGCTTCTGTTGTTCCTGGCATGTATGCGTTTAATTATTAATTATGGTTAAATAATTAGTTTCAATGATATCTCATGATGCAAATAGCATACTTATAATCACCTAATTAAGTGCACTACAAAACGAAGTTCACAAGACAAGCTCTTTGAGCATTAGTCACAGAATCCATTCATTTATTAATGCAGGCTTTCTGCTATCTTCTAAAGTCAACGTAGCTAGCTTACTAGCTTGTATGAGTAAACAGTCATTGGTGAAAAACAATGCTCTCCACATATAACGTTTGATTTCTTGTAAGTATAAGAACAAGAACATGCATCTAAAATTGAAAACTCCAAGTAGATAAATGTCTTACATGAAAGACATTAAACATCTGTCATATTACTTTCTGAATTCCATATGCTACAAAGGTTTATGACTTTACAAATAAGGAAAAAGAATATGGGTCCTGGTAAGATTTATTTTCTGCCAATTTAAAAAAAAACATTTCATTTATATCACTTTACACATATATTTTTTGTTATTCTTTTTCATTTACTCTTATATGTAATCAACTAAAAAAATAGTTGTATTCTCTTAATTTTTTATTCCTTTCATTTTTTTTTAAATCAATCCTCAGCTAATAACTCTCCTATATGGATTGACATATTTCGATGAAATAAATTATTTAACATATCAAGTTACTGAAAATAGTAAGTATTGATAATGTACCATAAATTCCATTTTGATTGACTCATAGGTGTCATTGGGATTCACTATAATAATTCTAATGATAAAAATAATAGAAAAGAACACACTCAACCTATTGCATTGAGCAAACAAAATAAAATAACTTTAAAAAACCATGGAAAGCCCTGTATAAGCCCACAGTAATCTGTTCAATTAAAATAAAATAAAAATTGTCTCTCTCTTAATTTTATAAAAATAAATTCAAGTTATAATATGTAGAGTGAGGTATAATTTTTATTTTATATGTTATAATTGTAAAATTAAATATATATATATATATATATATATATATATATATATATATAGAGAGAGAGAGAGACTTGTTTTTCATATTTATTTTTCAATTGTAACCTAATAATTATTTTATCAATTTTATTCTTGAAGTGATTTTGCTTTTAAGTTTTAACTGTTATTTTAGATTAAATTATTTTTTTTAATTTAATTATTTTTAATTAAAAATCATCTACGAAATAAATAAAAACTATCTTAGTAAAGTTGTAAAATTTATTTATATTTAATTTTATAATTATAACAATAATAATAATTTTATTATTTTCTATGATAAACACAATAATATAGTTTTTAATTTTACAAATTAATTTTAATAAATTATATAGTCATGAAACAACCTGCCTAGTAAGGAATCAGGTACTTTTATTCAAATCTCTCAAACTTTTAACATAACAAATGAATAATTCATAACAAGTGCTGAGGAAGTGTGCCAAACGTTGCATTTTGATTGGCTGATACGCGTCATTGGGTTTGACATGGAATTAGGAAACAATGTTGTCATAATAATAATAATTTATTTAGGTGTACAACAAAACAACACACTCAAAAACAATGGATGGTGACAAAACAAAAATATAACATGTTACTTTTGGAAAATTGTTCATTGTGCAACAAGACAAAAAATATATGTGCTGTAAAAAAACTTAAAAAAAACATTGACCAGAAAAGGTATCTTCAAGGGTAATCAATGAATAATTCTACACCTTTGGAATTTATGTGAAAATTCTTTTAACAGTTTTTTTTTCTAATTTAGAAACATTGAGTATTATGAAAGTTATCCTTCTATTTATCTTCTTTTTCTTAATACTTCTACATTTGCATAATCAAATTCATTATGTAAAACTCAATGATCTTTTTATTTCATTAGTTTAATGGCATTAGACTTACGTTTAGATCACAATATAATGACAATTGATCCAAAATTTTAACGAATCTTAGTCTTAATTTTTTTTTACTTCATTCTTAAGCTATAAGGGATTAAAAGATCGAATTAAAACAAAAAATAAAAACATTAAAATTCAAAAGAAAAGGAATAAATATATTTTTCATCCTGATAAAATTACAAATGTTCTACATCTCTAAAATTATGTGTCATCATCATTTATGCAATGAAACTTATAAATTGTAAATATTTTTTTTTCTTTTAAAAATTTTAGTATTTTTTTAGTTGCTCCAAAAGGGTTGTCATTGATGGAATTAAAGTATTTCAATGATTTATAGTGTTCAATTAACTTATGTATTTAACATTGTTGAACATCTATTAGCAAATATAATAACACTCCTATAATTTTAGAGAATCTGTGCAAATTTTAACATTTTCTCTGTAAGTAATAATGACACATTTATAAGAATTTGTATTATATATTTTCAATTATATCTTAATCTAATATTTGTATTATATGTTTTTAATTACATTTCAATCTAATGCTTGTATTATATGGTTTCAATTACATCTCAATCACCTCAATCAACATGTAGATAGACTTGACGACATCATATTAACAAGAACGAATAAATAATAGTTAAAGATAATTAACTAAAGAAAATATCTCAAATATTATTAGGACTTAAAATTTAGTCAAAGTAATTAATCATATCTACTAAATAAGGATTCACAATAATGATATAAATAACATAGTACACAAGATAAATTAATAATATTATTATTATATCATTAATTGTCATTTAACGTATTTGACTAACTTTAAAGTATCTAAGAAAAATGTTTGCATAATTATCAGCTGTAAGAGTTTGCAAGAATGAATGCGAGAAGATAATGACATTTGGAGATCTTTACATGATATAATTGATTCTACATACGAAAACAAGTTCAAAGAGGAAAAAAAATACTATCATTCTATAGAAAGACAAAAGAAGAACAATTGGAATTTTATAAGGGGAAGAAAATTACCCAAAAAAACACTTAGAGCACAAAGAATCAATGCTAAATTTAGTGGAGTTTTAAATTAAAAGTTCTTCAAGTTTTTATTTTTATTTTATTCTTTTGCCACCCGTTAAGTTATTATGGATGAGACACAAAGAAACTAAGGTTCTTCCCTTCAATGAATGAAAAAGAGAAACCTTATGAATGAAAAAGATGACATTGAAAAAACCTTGATTTCCTTCAATGGTTATTCCCATATGATCTTAAACTAGTCACAACCCAACATTGTTTTCATAAACGTACTCATTGACAAAAAGAGAGTCACAATACAATGACAGTGTGTTATAATAATTTTATTTCAATAGCACATTCCTCTCTATTCTCATTTGCAAAATCATAACCAGGTAAGGTACAAATAAGAAAACTCAGCCACCATTCATATGTAACAAGGAAGGAAATGGACTAAGATTCTTCCAGATTTATTAATAGTTCCTGCCAAGTCATACCATCCTACAACAGAATCGAGTATTTTAAAGGAGAACATTCCCCAAAAAATTCTTTCAAGATACAAATTTTATCATGTAATATCACTGCAGTTGTATCAAATAATCCAATCAAAAATCATCAAAAGCAAAAGCAAAGTCAAAAGATCTTCTGATGTAACTGCAGACAGTGCTGGTTGACAAGAGAAAGGGGAACTACAGATGAACAAAGACTCTACTTGATGTACTGGGAAAGCCACTGGAAGCCTTCACCATACCCCATCTTGCGCACAATGCTGCACATGAACACTTCGAGGGGTCGAAGGTTGGAGTCTGTGAGGTTGATCTTTCCTTTGCCAGTGGTGAAATTGGTCAGGCCTAGATGATACCGGAGCTCGTCTTCTGATGCTGCATAAGGGATGTCAATCTTGTTGCCAAGCACAAGAAAAGGAACACCTGCCAAGCCTTCATCTGAAAGCAAAGCATCAAGCTCCTTCTTAGATTCTGCAAACCTCTCTTTGTCATAGGCGTCGACCAGGTATACAACAGCATCCACCTGGAAAAACAGCAATGTGAGAATTCTGAAGTATCCAAGAACAATATCATCTTCATCATCATAGTCATTGCAGCTTCGGTAAAAACATGTGAAGAACTTGTTGACGCTAAAGAAATCATCAAACATTTAGCAGAATTGGTGAATAGAAAAGGTTATGAATCCAGATAATGAACAACACAGACCAAACGAAGTTCATATTTTAGTTTCAAGATACATCTCCTCCCTCAAAGTGAAAGAATGCATAAATTTATGATTGTGGCTTGAATCCTGATTTTCTTCCAATGCTTAAAAGGATAATTCAGTTTATTAGGAAGACTGATAATCATCCCAGTCCACAAACCTAAGCTTCTTTTATTTGTTCCTCCACTCTTGTGTACGTTACTTCTTTCTCATTCACGAGGAAAAAACAGGATATGTTAGGAAATCAACTAGTAAACACCTCCAAAAAGATTGAGAGGTGCTATCAGCGAAATTTCCACAGTCAATATTTGCCTCCCATGAATCAGATAAATACAAAGAGCCTCATCTGGGATTATGAAGGCATGTATGGTGGATCCACAAGGTGAAAATTCAAGCAGACAGTTGAGTCATACTAGATTATTAAACAGAAAAAATGTTGCACAAGCCAGAACCCAAACTATAAATGTTGAGAGCAAAAGTTTTACGGAAGCAGCAACAATTCATCAACAAAAACCACAGCACAAAACACCCATCAGAAAATCTAGCACTCCATAATGAACAAGCCAGCATGGAAGTAAAGATGCTGGGTTTTTAAGGTCAGTGAAGAAGTCATAACCAGCCAAATGAAACATTATTGTAGAAATGCCATATCGACTGAATAAACCCAAAAAAATGATTAAGAAGGAGCTTGGCCATAAATCTGATTTTAGCCTATACATGAAAGAAACTTATTTCATATTTCTTTAATTCCTTCTCCTATAGGCATGTTTATGTTTATGAAGAAGTTTATCCAAACAGAGTCAAAGTTAAGTTCCTAAAGGAACTAAAAATACAATAACCAGGTTATGAAATTGTTGGTTGCATCACAACCGCAATCAGGTAAACAAAAAGAAGCAATAAACCATTACAAAGCCCAAAAACCTATCATCGGCTACATGTTCCGTCCCATGCAACTGGGAGTGCCTCATATTAGACAAACCCCACTTTCAGAAACTCCAAAATCACACAACCCATAGCCCATAACCACCAAAGAAACATAAAAAATTCGATGACCAGCATAAAGATCAAGAGGTTAAAACAAATTTAACAAAAAAATAAATAAATAAATAACCTTGGCATAATAGTCTTTCCAGACCCTGCGAGCAACTTGATGACCCCCCAAATCGAAAGCCTTAAACTTGATCTTCCCAATGCTCAATTCCTCCGAAGTGGGGTGCTGGGTCGGCTGATGCTGAACTAATCTCTGCAACCAAGTATCAAAATTATAAAAAGATAATTTTTGAACGATTGGGAAGAAAAAAAATGTGAAGAGGGTGAAAAGAAGAGAGGAAGGTAACCTCGTCTTTGAGCATGTGAAGGAGAGTGGTCTTGCCGGCATTATCGAGACCGAGGAAGAGAATCTTGGCTTCTTTCTGCCATAGACCAAGGGAAGCGAGAATGCCATAGAACCAGTCGAAGAGAAACATGATTTGTGGTGTTGTGTTGGGGTAAGAGAGAACGGTCGCAGATCGGAGGAACGAAAATGAAGAATGGGAATTGAAAAGAGACGGAAGCAGATCCCCAGAGAAAGAGAGATCCTAGATCACGTGTCTGCGCATGTGGTGGGAATGCAATGCAATACATATACACTGATACAGCTCTGATTTTTTTTTTTTCTCTTGTTAATATTATTTTTAAATTTTTTAACCTTTTTTGGTTTGATTTTCTCACAAGTGATTGAAAGAAGGTTGGTGGGTGGTGGCTGGCAGTCCTTAATAGAGATCAGTAATTGTGATTTTTCATTCAAAGTCTCTTTCTCTGCTTTGTACCAATAACATTTTTTTTCAGTGTATTAGGTAATTTGTTTATTGACTTTTTAAATTATATTATTTTAATAATTTGTGATAAAAATTATTGAAATAATAATTGTTTTTAGAAAAAAAAAATATTTTTAATTATTGTTTTAGTAATTACCCGTGATAGAGTGATCCTTCAAATTAATCTAAATTTGATTTAATCTTAAAAACAATTCAAGCTATTCTGTTTTATTTATTTAAACTTGATTAATTAGCCATTTACATGATTAAACCTAATAAACAACATTAGAAAATAGAAAATTATAAATTGATTCCACCAACTACACCTATATGAACCCACGAATAAGCACTCAAGAGTGAAACTGTGGACTGTATTATTCTAAAACAAAAAGATGCACTAAAGAAAATGAAATGTATTTATAGTTGTGATAAAAAATATTTTATAATAATAATAGATTAAACATATATTTAATAAAATCAAAATTATTTTGTAATTAATTGGACTTAGAGTAGTTTAATCTTTCTAAAATCAAATCACACATTTTCACATTTATAATTTATGTTTGGACTATTTTGTGGATGTTGCGTTTATGGCCAGGGCATTATCGTCATTTAATGAGAAAAACGCTAAAAGGTTTCGTCTCGATATATAAATAAACAAAGTCATCTTCCAACAACCCTAGCCGGCTCATTGTGCAAGCACTTTCTCTTCGGTTCGTACGTTCATTCGATTTTCCGTCACAATGTTCTTCTAATTCTGCGTTTCGCAATTTGTTCTGCCGCTTTTCATATCTGATTCTGCTTTTTCTGATGATTGTAGAGATGGCGAAGTCTAAGAATCACACAGCTCATAACCAGTCCTACAAGGCCCACAAAAATGGCATCAAGAAGCCCAAGAGGCATCGCCACACTTCCACCAAAGGGGTAAATTTTTCATTTTTTTTTAAAATTTGTAGGTTATCTTCTATTATGTGAATATGTATGTTTTTTGGGTATTTAAATTGTGTGTGTGTTTTCTTTTCTAATTGTATTCATTTTTATTGTTGGCAATTGGTGCAGATGGACCCCAAGTTTCTGAGGAATCAGAGGTACGCTAGGAAGCACAACAAGAAGGATGGTGAAACTGCTTCCGAGGAAGAGTAAAGTGGAAGCACTTTCTAACGGAATCTTTAGGGTTTTTAAACTGTTTTTTTTTCTTTAAACGGTAAACTTTGTTCGGAATTGTTTGGAATCAATTTTCAGTAGTATAATTACTTTGTTCAGAGAATGCAGTACTCTTCTAATTTTGTTTTCCTGGTTTCTGTTGAAGAAGACCCTTGATTTTTATTTTTTTTATCAAATGGAATGAATGTTATCTTTTTAATCATTGCTGTGGGTGAGAATTGAATTTTTGTTATCTTAATTGCGGAAAGGAAAGGGAGATGGGTTTTGTTTTTAATGGTTAGCTTAGCACTACGTCGCCTTGCTTTTGGATGTAGTTTCAATTGGGAAGAGAAAAAAATCGAAAGGGTTTTGCAGACATGGCTGGCTGATTTTAGGATGTGTTTGGAAACCATTTTGGTCCAAGTTGAAAAGAAGTTTTACACTTTACGATGCATAAACCGAGAAACAAGATGAGTTGGTGAATTGGTGTTGAACGTGGATTATTTGAATTTTTTTTATCAATGGAATTTATGTTAAGGTCTTTGTGTCTTTTAGTCATTGCCCGGAGAGGGTTCTGATGGAGAAAAATGATTGCTCCAAAATTATACCCAGGTCCTTTTGTAATTTTTTAATCGCTATTTGTGATATGCTCATCATAGACTAAAGAAGTGTGTTCACAATTATGCTGACTGGAGTGTATGAATGTATAGGGCTACAAGTAGGAGTTTTATTGTATATATAGTTTGGTGAATGTAATATTAGACAGATCACTTTCCATAGCTCGTTACAGGTAGGAGTTTTCGTGATACCTCTGATCTTGCTACATGAGTTGTGAGAAGGAACATAAAGTTTGTTTAGTGAAACCTTCTCTATAAGAAGAAAAAAAATCAAGAATGAAATTCTTTTTAAATTGTCTACAAGTTAATTTGTGGAGAAATCTAGAAATCTAAAGATGCATAAACCAAAGTTGCGACCTCCTAAATTCCAAGCGCAGAGTAAACTGTACTTGAGGAAGTTTTGTATGAAAGTAAAGAAACTGGATTTTGCATATAACTCAGAAGCAGTGATTGTCTGTAAAACAACTTCATTTTGTTCAACCATGGCTTTACTTCTAAGCCCATCGTCAGTTGATGTTTGAAGTTGACGACTCGACAAATGTGTCTTCTAAGCTTCTCATTTGAACAGTAGACCAGTATTGAAAACTACGAATTATTGAAAACAAAGCTATAATGTACTTATAAAGTTCAAGTGTTTTAGATTTTAAGAATATTAGTTTAAAGTGAGTTGGTATTAAAAATATATTTAGAAATATTAATTAGTAATTAAAATTATAATTAGTGCATGAACAGGTGGAGAACCATATTTTAGATGATTCATAACGGCATAAACATTTTGATCATAACATCATCACGTGGTGCTTGACACCATCATCTCGGCATATCATGTCCAGCAAAGATCGATACCAATTACAGAATGGAGGCAGAAAATTCTAAATGTAGACCAAAATTGCTTTATAGGGTGGACTGCGTTATATCGTCACTTCATAACGTGAAAAATTGACGGTTTATGTTCGTGCTCAAAACTGAAACAATGAAAAATAGGGTACTCGCAAAGGCCTCGGAACATGAAAAATAGGCAACTGCTACACACAGAACATGACGGCATCTAGGCTGCAACTTGGAGAAAACCAGTATTTGAAGTGAGAAAGGAATATAATCTTTGTTGGACACTAACAATATGCCAACAAAATAATATATGCGGCACTCATCCATTCCGAGCCTCCTTTTAACGGTGTTTCCTTCTTCTATTGGATCCTGAATGAGTTGAAGTATTCCGCCAGAAGATGTGAAATGCATTGAAACTCCATTGTACATGGAACTCATTCGTAAAGCGGATACTCAGGGTAGATTAAACTGCAACTGCTTCCTTTACTGGTGCAGAAGCTTGTGCTTTAACCTGATTTTAGTAATTGAAGAGGAGAGCACGTATTAAAGAACCAGGCATAACTAACTATTTGTGTATGAACGTGCAAGTGTACAAATAAATTATGGATTAACTCACCTTTGCTGATTTAAACAGCTCATCAAGCACCTCAGACAAAGTCGGATGAGCATGAACGGCAAATTTTATATCCTGCATTGATGTGGGAGTTACCATACAGATAACCATAAAAGATAAAAAGATCCTTGAGGCTATTAACAGGTAAATTTAAAAACACGGCACGAAGAACCTTATTTATTTCTCAGTGTAGCAGAGGCGATCATTAATAACCAAATCCCAGGCTTTCACATTTGACAGCTTTGGAAGGGAAAATTTACCTGAATACGTGTTCCTAACGCTATTGCATTGGACGCCTCGTGGATGAGATCAGCAGCATGCAACCCAAAAATATGAACTCCCAGTATCTCTCCAGTGTCAGGCCTGTATATCAACTGCAGGAAAACAGCGTAAAAATAGTAAACAAAGAAGCTGATAGAGAACAACAACGTTCCTAGAGAAAAAGGGCAATAATGAGCTTAAGAAGTAAGCCAGGACTCCCTGCTCTAAATCAAATAGCACCGATATCACCAAAATAATAATCTTTTGTAGATAACTCAGTTAGCCTCTAACTGCTAGGTCCAATTTTTTCAGATTATTTTTTGGTGACCAAGAGAACTCTATCAGGATATGGCGGGGTAGGGGGTGGAGGTATGATGATAAAATCCGTCAGTCCCAGTAACAACATCCCGATCTTAAAAATCAACTGAGCTAAGACCCACAGTTTGTTTTTATTTGGGAGAGTCCACAATCGTATTTGGGTAGTTTGACAAAATCCATTCTCACTTTTTTCAAGGTTGTAAAATGGTTACAAGATCGAGATAACAAAATCAATTTTAGCAAGGGGAATCGAATAAATTTCCAAAAATAACCCTATTATGATCACAATTAAAAAATCATTGCACTAAACAGAATTTAAAAAATAGATGTTTTAACATCATTTCCTTTACAATCCAACCCAAATAAGCTTTTGTAGAATAAGAGAATCAAGGGAAAAGAAACAGAAATATAACCTTTGCAAGACCCTCCCCTTCATTTTCAGCTAAGGCCTTTGTGTTAGCTTTAAAACTTGTTTTGGCAACGCTTACTTGAAAACCATCCTTTTCTCCTTTCTCCCTTGCTTGAGGCTGCATATAATGTGTTTAACCATAATACATGAGTTCATCAGAGTGAAGGCCAACAAGAAGAATTTTAGATGTAAAATAATGGAATGGGAAAGGGAGTAACAGAGCAGAATAACAGAGGAGAAGACAGATAGCCATGCATATAAAAGAATGAAAAAAGGAGCAGGTGGAAGTCGAAACATAAACAAAAAGAAAATATTATACACCTCGGTCAATCCAACCATGCTGATTTCAGGATGAGTAAAACAAGCAGCTGGTATGCTTAAATGATTGAGCACATGATCTCTTCCAGTGACTTGTTCAACCACTGTCAACAACCTTTTATTAGGTAAAGGAAGCAAATGACTCAAATATTACAAGCAAAATTACTTGTTTCTTACCTGAAATTCCTTGCGCACTGGCAGCATGAGCAAGCATCATCTTGCCATTTGCATCACCAATACAATACAAATGAGGAACCTATCATTCCATCACACCCTAAATCAGTAACAATGTGTCAGATCAAGATGAAAAAATAATGTGTACATGAAACTTTTGAAACAAACCAGGTTTCCATTTGCATCAAGTACTCGCATGCGCTCATCCACAGGAACAAAACCACGCTGAGTTACAACATCTATCTGCAGGAAGAAGTAAAGAAAAATAACCAAATACCCAATCACTTCCTTTGAGGAAAACATTTTATCATAAAGGCATTTCAGTTAGAAATTACATTCTCCAATCCAAGACCTTGTGTGAAAGGAGCCCTTCCAGTTGCTATTAGCGCAGCGTCCACCTAAAGCAAATCAGAAGTATCAGCTTTTAAGAAGTTAGTAACTAAATATGAATGTAAAGGCATGGGTGGGTGGGTGGGTGGGTGTGCATATATGGATGGGCAGACAAAGATGGATGGATTGCTAGATATTTGAAATGTCATTTATAATTGAGAATTTCCAGAAAGTTGCCTCTAAAGTGTTAAGAGTTAACTGACTAATTGAAAGCATTAAGGAAAAACATTAGGGTACCTCTAAAGTGTCCTTTTGTTCCTTGGTCTTTGCATCAATGAGCTCAATCGTGACAGGTTTTCCATCTCTTGCAGGAGTGATCTATGTAGAGGAGAAGATGACTGAGTTCAGAGCTACCCAACAAAATATTATACCAGAAATCACCACATGTAATTACCTTTGATGCAAAAACTCCAGTATGATAGTCAATATTCCGGGGATTTATGAGAACCCGTTGAGCCAACTTGCTAATTTCAGGATCAAATCCTGGCATGAGCTGGTCTAAAGCTTCAATAAAAGTAACCTGCAGTATATTATTATTACTATTAGCAACTATATCACTCATGCACTAATTAGGTTTCTATCTATTACGAACAATGAAATAATATAAAAAACTTTCAAACATGCTTAAAAAAGGGCAAACTATCGCAGGTTCTTCTAATGAAAAAAATACAACGGTGAAAGGAGAAAAAAATAAGTACTGGAGAAGTAATACCTCACTTCCAAGAGCTGTATAAACATCACTGAATTCAAGACCGATATAGCCACTTCCTACAATTGCAACCCAATCTGGAACAGTCTCCAGTTTGAGTGCATGGTCACTGGTAATCACAGTCTTCCCTGAATGTATATACTTGGTGAGGTTTCACTTGAAATTAAATAAAAGTTATGACAGAAATAATAAAAACAGTAAACATGAGGAACAGTCTCCAAATAGAACAGAATATAGATATTCATCGCCTTATACACATTTTACTAATATCTTATCCATCAAATCTCTCTAATGCCAAATTGATCGCTTCTTTTTTTCCAATGGGTGCTAACTGCGTTTATAACTGATAGCACTCTACTCGTTATGCCACTAGTGGCATGATATGATTCTTATCATAGATGCTATTGTACATCCTAGTTTCTGGTAGCAAGAAGATATGCCTATAATCAAATCCTTTCACTAAGTAAAACTAGAGATGCTAGCATAAAGTAATAACGTCATGAAGAGAAAAGATAAAACATGTAGTGTACGGCGTACCATCAACTTCAATGCCCTTAGGAACAAAAGGAACCGACCCAGTAGCAATAATGATGTCTTTTGCAGTTACCACTTTGTTGGAAGAGCCAACTTTCACCTTTTGAGGACCCTGCATGGATTCACAGACAAGGCAGCAGACAAATATTTTAAAATTGACATTTGCATTTTTGTGGTCAAAATTCAAGCCTTGCCTGATAAACAAATAATTCAATTTCCAAACGCAATCACAATAGTATTTATCTTTCACACCACGGAGCACATGTCACTTACCAAAATGGTTCCAAAACCAGTGAGAATATCCACTCCAAGAGCTTTTAAAGAGTTGGTCAAGTTGCCACGGATTTTCGAAGCGAGATTATTAGCATGGTCAGCTACTGCTTGTCTGTCATACCCAGCACCAGAAACCTAAAATAGCAAATTAATCATAATACAACCAATATCTCTGCCGCAATGCACACTATATTCTAAAATCCTAAACACATTTCAATTCCAACACAATACTTTTACCTGCAAACCCAGCGACTTCAAGTGATGATCATCCCGTAGCTCTCGCATACGACCGCTCACAGCCAAAAGTGCCTTAGAAGGAACACAGCCCCTATTCACACACGTCCCTCCAACCACATCTCCCTCAACAATGGCCGTTTTAAGGCCCTGCAAAACCACTTCCTCGCTTCATAACTTCTTCAAATAACATAATACTTTACCAATACGCAATGTATTAATTAATTAACGGCTAAAATACTTTTTTGTCTCTCGTCTTTTTTTTTTTTTTTCTGTTTCAGCTTAGTCCTCTAAGTTTTAAAGCTTAGCTGTTTGCTGTTAATCTAGGTTACGCGCCAAATACTTATTTGGTGCAACATTTCTCGCGTCTAAACAAGTTAATAAATAAACTGAAACAGATACACTTTGAGTAACAAAGTAAAACTTTAAAGTTGGCACAAAACTGAAATCTAAACATAAAAAGAGTGAAGAGAACTTTCATTTCAGCCTCAATTAAACTAACTCCTCTAATTCATTACAAAATTCAGCTGAATTTTCCAACTCGACAGAGCGCGCGCTCTAAAGTAAGGTTTTCAGCGATCCAGATGTCTGAAGCAGAAGCACTGAGCGTACCTTCTCAACGGCGTGAAGCGCGGCGCCGTGTCCACCGACGCCGGCGCCAATTATGAGCAAGTCGTAGTCGAACAATGTGGGACCGGTACCGTTGTTCGAAAGCGCGGCGGTCACTGCGGCGGAGTGCTGCAGACGCCGGCGGCAGTGGTGATTGAGGGAACTGGAAGTGAATGCCTGGCGGCGGAGACCACAGAAGCGGAGAGTCGAAGGGACGAGGCTGCCACCGGAAAGAGAAAAAGAGTGACGTGGCCCCGAGACGGTGGAAGCGTACGAAGAAGAGAGAGAAATGGATGATTGCATTTTGAAGGAAATCAGAAATCGTGAAAATAAGTGCTTATCTGTGAGTGAAAATTTGCTGGTTGGATTGGGAGTGAAGAGGGATAACCCACCTTCTTCTCTCTTTCTTTGTCTTCACTGATTTATAATGTCTTTCAACTTTCAACTTTCAACTTCCAACCTCAATAACCATAATTTTTTTTATGGTTTTTCTTTTGGAGCTCAAAATATGTTTTATAAAAATAGTATGGTCGTTTATAAAATACGTAAATTTATTCTAAAAAAATAGATATAAAGTTGTTGTTAAAAAATGTAAATTATTTGAATAATAAACATAAAACTTTATCCGCAATAATAAAAAATAAATAAACCAAATTGTCCCACTTAATGTAAATTTGGCAACAAAATCCAAAGTGCTCAACAAAAATCAAATTTGTCGGGTATACAACAAACATTTAATATAAACAAAATCTTAAAAAACAAAGCAAAAGTCCAACATAAATAAAATAGTCAACACTACAACACTGTGGTGTTTATATATTCTTTTCTAAATATCTGAGCAAAATATAATTAAATGTCAATATATAATAAGATAATAACAAAACTGAATAGTAGAATAAGTTTGATGGAAAATTAAAATTTATAAATTAAAAGTTAATTTATAACCTTAAGATGTGGTTATGCGAGTATAAATCTTACATTTGTTATAGACAATTCTTTAAAATAGTATTTTATCGACCTAATCATAAATTTATAGTCATGTTCAACCCATTAGAAAACATAAATACAAAGTTTGAATTTATGAAAAAAAAACAATTCTTTATATTTGATTTAATCTTTTGTATTTGGTATATCTCACAGTTTAGCTCAACTTATTCATCAATGGTCTTGAGAAATTTATACAAATTAAAGCTTTGACAATAATGAGATTTAAATAAGTTTTACTTCTAAATGAATTAAAGATTCAATTTATCATATTAGAAACACTCTTGATAATATACAGAATTATCATAATCTTAATTTCTATTTTTTTCTAACTCTTTAAAATGTCAAAATTATTATTAGTATGTTGAGTTTTGAACATTATCCTCCAAATATATTTCTAATTCAATCTTCACTTCGTTTCGTTTTGTTTATTTTCAGTTCCAACCTAACTCACTGGTCCATCCTTTTCACCATGGTCATCGTTATCGTCAATGGGATTATTTGACTAAGAAGCCAAATAATTACATGATGGCACAATCACTACCATTAATAGGAAAAATATACAACGTAGCATTAAACACAAAAATAACCTGAGAACATCTTTAAAATATTAAACATCTCCTTATTTCTTATGTGATCGTACATACGATAAAAAAATTAAATTTATTGATTTTAAGTGTCTTGTAGATTAGGTCTCTTGTGTCAGTTGTACATGTTGACAATACTTGTTAGAAGTTTTTACATTTTTCATTTGGCTAAAAACCTAAAATATTATTAAAAAATATTAGTAAAAACCACATTATAATTATTGTCAAATACAGATAATAGATGTTAAAGGTAGGTTACTGCTAACATTTTTCTTTTATAAATGCACACAAATTAGCTCATACAAAACAATTTATTTACATAATTAGGACATAGTTTATTAATAAACTTAATTATCTTTTTCTACACGGGAAGATTCTGTAGATAAACACACACGCGATGCAACATTTCTCTTATAAGAAAGATTAAATGGAAAACTACTCTTTGTAGTAGAAAAATAACTAATTAAAACATTATTCGTGTAAATATAGTTACTAAGAAACACAACATAATTGAGTTATTTATCCAATTTTACACAACATGCAAATCAAGGTAAATCCATGAGTGTGTGGAAAAATTTTATAATTTCATTATAATTGGCAAATTATATCATATTAGGAGGGGAAAGAAAATATATTTCACGTTTATCTTTATGAAGTTCTTTTTTACATATCACACACATGTAACTTTTTTAAGAAAGTGTTTACATCGTGACAACACTTAGTAGAAAGTCATTATTGTTTAATTAAACTAAACCATATTGTTTATTATAGTACATTGTGAGTTTTTTAATTGTGACTCACCATAATTAGCATGGACCACAAAATAAAATATGTAACCCACAATAATTTCCTATTGACAAATTGTTCTACTTAAAATCAAATTTCAAATTTGTAACATTAGCTCAAATATCAATTGTTAAATCACACGTTTCCCATTGGATTAAAAGTTATAACTAATAGTCAATGCAACTTTTTATACTCGAGAACATAATAGTCAAAATGTCAATAGTGAATTGTCTCACTTGACCTTTGTCACAAAACAATAAATGTCACAAACAACATTTTTATTTAAGCTTGTTAGTTATTAGTTAATTACAAATAAACAACATTGTATGCAATATGTAGTTTTGTCTTATCTCAATTTGAAATTTGAATAAATTATTCAATTTGTTTAATTGTTTTCTTTGTCTCTGGTTTGGGTGCAGTGTGCCAAGTTGGTCTAACTTTTAAAAAAAGTTTCAATTTAGTCCAAATATGGTTAAAAAGTTTCATTTTCCAGGTTTGGACTAAATTGAAACTTTTTAACCATGTTTGGACTAAATTGAAACTTTTTTAAAATGTTGAACCAACTTGACACAGAACAAAAAAAAAACAATTAACCCATTAAAAAAAGTAAATCCAAACAATTAAAAAAGTTGGTTTTTGTGAGTCATGATTTTCTTGAATCAATTCAATTCTAAACAACCTTAATATTATGATAAAGAAACTTTTCTTTGCAATATATTGTTAAATAATATAATGTTTCTATTTTTATTTACATAACGTGAAGAAAGGGAAAGCATTTCAATTTTAAATGATACAAATGATAAAATAGACTATAAGCTTAAAAAAAACAGTCATTAATGACTAGAAAAAAAATATAACAAAGATTAATTATGACTAGAAAAAACGATATAAATAATACCAAAATGTTATGACTTGTGATTTGATGTTTAAGAGATGTGTTATAGTAAGATTTACATTATAGAGTTTCTAACTCAATAAGCTTATAAACATACACATGTCAAATTTGTTAGAAATGTCAGAATGAGTTATAATTTTTGAGTTAACTTGTGTCATCACAATTTCGAACCAAGTTGGATTGGAAAAAATTTAATTTTTTTAAATAGGGTTGAAATAAACTTGTTAGACTTAACCCACATATTAATCGAATTTGAGCCAAATTGACTCAACTCACCAACACCAACATTTTATTAGCTCTTTTTACCATTTTTATGTAAGCTTTTTTATTATAATTATTTATTAGCTTTAATTATATAGATTCACGATTTGATCTTTTTAAATACTAAAATGATGTTCAATGATGTTCAATTACTATCTTTACAATAAATATTTGGAGAATTAGGTGAATACTATGATTCTTGTACTATTAAAAAATAATCGAGTGAATTAATTTTGATTGTAATTTAATAAATATATAAAATAAATTGTAACCCACCAATCTATGGTAGATCGAGCTGAGTTAACCATTTTTTAGTCCAACCTATGTGTTAGGTGTGTTAAGACGAAATCGTCTATAAAACTAAAATAATCAAGTGAATTAATTTTGATTGTACTTTAATAAATATATATAATAAATTGTAACCTACAATCTACGATGGAGAGAGTTGAGTTGACCATTTTTCAGTCCAACCTATGTATTAGGTGTGTTAAGACAAAATCGTCTATAAAACTAAAATATCTAAACATTCTCATGTGTTTTGAAGTTTAACCAAAAAAATTAAAAAAAATGAACATATGAAAATATTATGATTAAAATATCATAATAGTTTAAATTTTGAAAACCAACTAACTTATGAATTTATATTTAAATAATTTTCTCATTAAATTTAAAATTATTAATATATATTTTATAAAATTTATTAATTTATATAGGAAAATACTGTATTTTAAGTGATAAAAATAATATTTATTTATTTGTAAAATTATTATATTTGAAATGGAATTCAAGAAATGTTATCCGGATTCATGTAAATTTTCATTTAACAAAAAAGTCTCTTATTGGTTAAAATATTTATCTTTTTTACGAATAAAGAATAATTATTTTAAAAATTATTTATATGAAAATAAAGATAAAATTAAAATTCACTATTTTTTCGAACACTAAAATTAAAATTATATACAAGTCAAAATAATTTAGACAAATGGGCGGATCCATCCAGTCACGAACACGTGTAAAGCGAACTTCAGTTGCAAATGGCGCATTAGTAATTTCAGCGGGAACATAGTGGTGTTTTCGGTATTTCACTCACGCGTATTTGTTTTCTGTTTCTCCTTTGCATAAACTAAGTCAGGGAAACACTCTTGCACGGAAAATATTATATATGAGAGAGAAACAAGAGAGTGTATATGTGGAACCTTCACCATGCTACGTCAATGGCAGTTAGGGTTTCCTGTTGATTCCCCAAAGCTCGGTTACCTTGCTATAGTTGTTTTTTCCTTTCACGCTTCTTTCGTTCTCCAAACCCTAATTTGAACCCCAAAATTCAGTATCTCTCTCTCTCTTTTTTTTTTTTTTTGCTTTGAAATTTTGAGTTGCTGCCTACGATGGGTGCTCCGCAGAAATCGCAGACAAACGCTAATTCGATGCAGGCAAGTGTGCTTTATGAGTAGTTGAAAGCTTCTGTGTTTAATCCTCGAGTTTCAGTGGATGTAATTGCATTTTGCTTTGCTGTTCGACGTGTTCAGAGTTCACATATCAATTTGTTTTATTGATGAATTGGTGAACGTGTGAATAAGTGTTATGGATTTTTGTATTTAGCTGCAGCGGTTTACTGTGTATTGTTAGTTATCACTCAGTTAGTATCATGCTTTATAAAATGCTTTACTATGTTGATATTCTTAGAAACGTGAAAGGCAACGAAGTGGAGGATAGTGCTCATATTTGAATACGCATTTTATGTTGTATCTCGTTGGTGTGATAAACTAATAGCTGTTTTTATTCCTTTGTGTTTTTTCTTTTCTAAATTTCAGAGTTTTTCATTTGAGGATTTTTTAATAGTACCTAGTATCAACTTATATGATATGTCAGGAAATAATAAAAAGTAGGATTTTCTACATAACGTTGTGATGTGATAGTCAAGGCCCTTT